TGTGAGTAAGGGAGACCTCATTTTATATGTAGTCGGCTCCTCCTTGTTTATATGGATACCTTTATCTGAAATTCGACTCGTAGGTAGGAATATTTCCTTCTGACTTGGTGATCTTCCCTTGTTAAACTGCTCTTCCAACTTGGATTTAATGTCTTTCTAAGACCTAAAACTGACTTTTCTAAGCTTATACTTCGGCTGGTCAACTAAATTTGTGGGTATGTACACTAAGCGTTGCATGATTTTATGGGTGGGTTTTTGCTTTCACCACTTACTGAACACCCTCAAGAATAACCGCTTGAATCAATTGCACCCACATCGTCCCTGATCATGAAAAATAACTCTTGCCTGACCAATATTAGGTCAGAACCATTTGAACCGAAAACAACATCACACACACGCACCTGTCCTGGTGAACTTCAAATGAAACTCCATTCATCTCTGCCAAGATGAGCTCAAAAGAAAGCAACGACGACACCCCCTCTCTTGGAGTTCTGAATAATGGTCGGTTAACAGAAATACGAATGAAAACCAAATGTACAGGTAGGACAAATTTGGGGTATGACAGATGCCCCTATCTAATCGGCTTAAACCTAGTGAGATGAAATTGCTATGGCGTTCATTCTTTCGAGGTAGAAGATGATTAGATATAGAAGACTCTGAATTTGTCCGAAAAAGAAAAAGAAGTGTTCCATTAGTACCTGGGCTATAATAGGTGTTGCAAGTACTAACGAGAGAAAGGAACTTTTCGGTGATGAAAGGAAATTCACACTAATAGGATTTATTTATGAACCTCTTTAATTGGTTTACATATACCTTTTCTCTTTCTTATGTAAATTCGATGGCTTCAAAAGGTATGACTACAGTGAGAAATCTCTTTGGTCGACAAAAATCTCAGTAAAGGGTCGGGTGGCTACCTTATCCATTTTTGCTTAGTTTACCACTACTCCCATAAAGGGACAATTTGAGGGGTTTTTGGGCGATGTTAGGGACGCAATTTACGCTCAGTCTTCCTTGGCTCCTCGTGGTCGGGGTCTATATTTTTTACAAAGCTGGAGAAAAGATCGAAAGGTCTTATCTTGGTTGACAATCATAAGAGATATTAAAATCCAAATTCTCTTGAGGGGGAGAATCCTAGTAAGAGGCTCAAACCCTCAAATGTTTCTCCCTCGGTGCTTACCGTTACTATTAGTGGGACCCTATCTACTCCCTTCAAGTTTTGTGACATATTCCAATATGTATACCCTGAGGCTCGGGCCTATGCGCCTAAGTGAGACTATTCGTTGAGCAAGAAAAATATGTTTTATAATTATTGTATCCATATAGACTGGTGGTTTCAAAGAATGTTCAACAGTTTTTAAGATCTTAAGTAGATAAGGATTTTATATTTATTGTGATGCATGAAAGTAAATAACACAGAATAAATGACATAAAGTAAAATGGAGATTGTGGTGTTAACAACTAGAAAAATTGATAGGGGCAGATTTCATCATTATGTATTTATCATGCACATCCATAGGTCTGTAATATCCTCTTATACTCAACTATTAATATCACCACCACCCGTTGCTCTCGTTTATATCTCATTTCAGTATCCATGTTGTAAGATAAGTGTATTACCTAATAGCCGATATATCAGACTATTAACCAACACAAAGCATTAAGTTCTAATAGTTATAAATTTGTAAGAATCTACACTGATCCTACTACAGTACGTGCATGTATTGAATATAACTGTATATTTAGGCATTAGTATCCAATAGATGATGATCTTAGATCAAGTAATGACAAACACCTTTTGAATTTCAAGTCACACAAAGAAAATAAATTTTAGGTAGCAACAATAAAATAGACATTAAAATTAAAGTCATCAATATTAAAGCATGAGTAGCTTATATAGAACTTAATGGCCTATTTAACACATGAATATAATGACTACATCGAACCCCCAACAAAGAGATTTTAGCTACGCTTACTCATCGTAACTATCAGTAATTCTACGAAGCTGATCTTAAAAATTTCTTTGCCCTGTCACTTGAGCAGTATTTCCCCCTTCAAGCTCACTCTTTCATTCTCCTATTATAGACCAAGGTGAACCAACTCCAATTTTGCACTAATTCACTCCAGTGAAACTCCCTTTGCAATGAACTAGAAGCCCATTTATAAGCAAGATTTTGGACCCCTCTCTATGGGAACCACCCTTGTGCCTAACAAGCCTATTTTTTTTCCCATTAAGCAATTCTAGTTATCTGACAAGTGCCCCTAGCTGCTTTGCCTCAGTAAACGCATCGTATATCCATTTAGCGCACAAATCCTTGCTTCACCTTGAAGTACTTGAACTTAAAATTCTATTTAGCTTCTTGACTGCGCTTAGCGCACCTATGGGTGAGCCTAGCGAGACTGTATTTTCAAGGTTTTTCTCAAGCATGGTCTTTGCGTGCTCAATCGTGGCTTTTAAGCCCCTTTTATCCGTTTTTAGTTAATACACACTAGAAAAGTCAAAACAAGCGTTTTATCACTTTTCACTGATAAATTAGAAGATTTTATAATATTTGCTTGTAAAATAAATTATTAAGTGCTTACGTATTTTACAGGAATCTGTCACTTATCAACTTCCCCAAACTTATTTTTTTTGTTTGGCTCAAACAAAATCAATCAAATGGTTCACAAATCTTTTGCATGTTTCATTGACAAGATGCACTGACTCATGTTAAGAACATTGAAATTTGTCTTTATAACATAGTAGTCTTGCAAATGAAAGTTCATAATCGTTATCATGACTATCCGTAAATCATAACATATAGATTAGTCATTTGCTTGACTAGAGTAAGATTTTTAAAACATGTATAGATTAACAGTTAATAATTCATCAGGATCATGATCTCACTGAGTATCTTTCAATGGTTAGTGTTTTCCTATAAAAATAAAATAACTCATGTACTATAGAAACACTTCTCATTTTATCTAAATAGTATCACAAAATATATCATCAATCATGAATTACTAAGGTCTTTCTTTAGGTTGTAAGGTGGTTGGGCTTACAAAAAATATTGGTTTTTCTTTGGATTCAAAATCCTAAAGAAAAGAGAGCACAAAGTGTCTATTTTCAAAAATTTCTCTTTCTTTATTTCCACATTATCACAATCATTTTCTTTAAGTGTCTTTTTTATTTTATTTTATTTTAAAATTTTGAGTATTGGATTGTTTTTGTTAAATCATTTTTCTTTTTCTTTCATTACACCAATACTATTTGATTTTTTTCTAAAACATGTTCTTTCTTTTTTCCCCAAGTTTCCTTTTTACAATACCATTTCTTTTACTTGCTATCTTATCCTAAATATAAGGTAGTGAACATTTTTTTTTCTTTTTCAATCGGCTAAGGTTATAAATTTGAAAGAACTATGACTTAAAGGTGATTCTCAAAGGATTCACACCCTCAAAAGGTAGGCTTTTTAGGTCAAGTAGTTTTTCACTCAATATCAAACAATGCCTTGATTATTCCCATGACTTTCTTCTTCTTCTTCTTCTTCTGAAAAACTCAACAAGACCTCTAAGAACTGTTAGTTTTAAGTACGTGTCTCCTTCAATCAATCTCAGAACTCTCGTTATCAAGATCTGAACTCAATTGAAGTTGAAGATGTAAGAATTTCGTAGCAAGACTTTGAACGCTTAAAATAGAGAAAATTGATTTTCACTAAAAATCACACTCTGAAAAATATGTTCAGAATGATAGGTGTTATAAGATAAATGATGCCAACAAGGTTTTATATGTGCTTGAGATGAAACACACAAAATGGTTGAAAAAAATAGTTAGACTCGAATCAAGAGAAAAATTAGATTTGAATCAAATGAGTAAAATGAAATGGAATGGAAGAAATAACAGTTTTTAAAAAAAAAAGTCAATTGATTCAGGTCAAGGAAAGTGTGATTCGAATCAAATGTCACGTGATTCGAATCATGTTTAAAATTTGATCCAGATCAAATGCACATAACTAAAAAGGAATTTTGAAAAATGAAATTGATTCGAATCATGTACAAATATTGACTCGAATCAAATCATACATAATCTATTCCTAGAAAAATAATTAGTATCAGGTGTAAAATTTGATCAGAATCAAATCACTGAGGTATACTTCTGTCTAATTTGATCAGGATAAACAATTTAGTATAAAACTGAATGATTCAAATCAATCGTGTAAAATCTCAAAATTTCAAAAGCAATTTGAGATTTTACTTTTAAATCAACTTTAACCAAAAACATAAAATGCTTTTATTCCACTAACATATGCTATTGATCAAATAACATTTAAATCAAGATCAAATCTACCCAAAGTTTTATGCATGCTAAAAACGAATCAAATCAAACTCGATTATGAGAAATGCAATCATGAAAGAGACTTAACAAATTAAAATAAAATCAAAGATAAAAACAATAAGACAAACAACAAATAACCAAATAATATAGACATACAACTACAAAAACAATTGACATCAATCACTGAGTTGCCTTCCAAACAAGACTTATTTAAGATTTCTATCTTTACCATTTGATTCTCTAATCATATGCTTCCTCCAAACTTGTATCTTATATCCAACTAATTTGAAATCAAGCTTAATCTTATGCATGCATTTAATCAAATTTTTTTCTTTTAATTCTAATGTGTTTCATCTATGTATTCCTTTATTCTTTCTCAATATTTTTTTAGGTTTCTTTCCCAAAATCACATAATGGACTACAAATTAGATTAGGTGGTCGTAATTTATTTTATAAAAAAAAACCATACTTTTAAATGTAACCTTCCCTTAAAACTTTAAACCATACTTCAACAATATTTAATGAGAAATATAAATTTTTATTTTTCTTATATGATTTTATAAAAGATATTGAGTAGAGTCGAGTTCTCACTATCTTTATTTAAAACTACAATAACTTGAATGCAACACTCTCACTCCCTCTCTTTGCATTTCCCGCAAACACCAACAAACCTTATCTTATCGCCAAGATGTTCATCATCCGCCGTTTCCAAAAACCTCCTCCCCCCACCACCGAAGACCCAACTGCCAATTCCGACTCCGACTCCGACTCCGAAATATACCCCGACCGACAGCCCACAGATGTAGTCGACATTGAAGCCTACCTCAACGCCTTCCGCATCCAAAACACCGAGCAAGAAGATCCCGAATCCGATTTCGACCCGGCCGCAAACTACAAAGGCGTAATGGAAGCTCTACAATCCGTTGACGCGAAGAATGTATTAGAAAAAAACGCTCGTCTGGCTGTTCACCGTTTCAATCCGTTTGAGTACCCTCAGGATGACGAGGATTGGAGTGAGAAAGATTTGAGGGAGGTTTGGGATAATGGGAATAACGTGATTTCTGGTACTGGTTGGGACCCTAATTCGGTTGCTCCAGATGAATGGGTTTATGTCGAGACACAGCTTGCTAATGGGAGAGATGTTCCCGTTGCTCCTTTTTATCTTCCTTATAGGAAACATCTTCCGCAAGTTCCGCCTAAAAATGTTAATATTAAATCTCCCATGGATTTTATTGAAGAATTGGATAGGATTGAAGAGTTTCTCAAATGGGTTAGCTATATTTTTGAAGATGGTACCACGTATGTGAAAATTTGATTATATTTCTGCTAAGCGGTTCTAAAACGTGTAGTGTAGTAGAAATTAGACAAATCGATTGTTTCTTTGACAATGCTGGTTTTGTTTGTTATTTATGACTGTTCTGTGATGGTAATTGTTTAGATATGAAGGGACTGTTTGGGATGATGTTGCTCAAGGAAAAGGTGTTTATTCTACTCACGATGGACTTATCAGGTTTGTCTTTGCTCCATTGTGGTGACGAATAGTTATTGCTGTTACTTTTGCTTAGATGGTTTAAATGATAGTGGTGGTGAGAGCTATAACAAGATATAATGTGGTGTAATTGCTTGGGTTTGTTTGAATAAACAGCTTAATTAAGTGTTTATAGTTTAAATGCTTAATAAGAGTTTATGTATAGGTTATATCTCTATAGCGAAAGGTAAAATAACTTCAAAGTGATTTCATATAAACTATCTTGGAGGGCATGTGGAAATAAGCTGAAAGCAACTTGTGAACATATCATAAGTTGTTTCCATAAGCTTTAATAAGTGCTTATGCCAATAGATAAGTTTAACAAAGCCAATTTAAATGGGCGCACGTGTAACAAGTTGGGGTTGGAGGGGACTTTGTAGGATGTCATGGCGTTGGCATTATCAGTCTTGAATGGATTCGATGTAGTGAAAACGTGACTTATATGATTGTCAAATTTGATTTGCTAAATGTGCAATACAAGCCGTCTGATCTTGCTTGGATGGTGGTGATTTTCCTGATTGACTGTGGGGGACTGCAACTACAACATTCCAGGGCTGATAGGGGAGCGTGTGAAACAATAATCTTTCACCCCTTTTGTGGAATGCTTATTTTATTAAATTTGTAATCAGTAGTTGTCTTGGTTCCTCATTTTAAAGCCAATTGGGCTTGATTTACAAACAAACTACTTACGAACGTGGAAAACCAAGCTTTTGGTCTTCGAAGAGGCTTTGATATTGAATGAGTGAATTGGCTATATCACTTTAACAAACTTAGTTAGAGGGAAAGAGGAAAAATGAAATTGAAAACATTACTTTAACTGTGGTGTCTAGTGTATTCTACATATAACTTGGAGAGGTTATGCAATCAACCGATGCATAAAAAAGAGTTACATTATTTCAAATGATTTACATCTGAAAATAGTGAAAGAACATGATTAAAGTGTGACAAAGTCTCAGTTAAATAACTGTATTTGAATTGGAAAACAGCAGATTATACAAAACTACTGGTGCAGAGTTAGAGTCATTACTTTTTTTCTTTTTAGGATATAATGCATAAGATGGTCATGTTTTCTGTGGTTTTTATCATATCTTTGTGTGTCAGTACAGCATGCAACTCTTTCTTGGCACGGATATTTCACAATGTATTTTTTCTCATAGGTATGAAGGTGAATGGGTTCGAAACGACCCAGAGGGTCATGGTGTTGTTGAAGTTGAAATACCTGTTATAGAACCTGTTCCTGGATCTGGGTATGCATTTCTGAAGTCTTAGATTGTGCCATAGTTTGAAATTACATTCAATTGCTTGTAAACAAAACCTTGATTGCTTTTATGTCCTTAGGCTTGAAGAAGATATGCGAGTTGAAGAGGAGATTATAAAAAAGGATTTTATGTCCCCAGAAGAGAGAAAATGGCTTGATAAGGATATTCAAGATAGTTATCATCTTGCAAATGGACAACAAGAAGTCCCCTATTATGAGGGGATTGGATGGGTTGAGAAATTTGGAATAAATCCGTAAGCTCAATTATAGATTCTTGCTTTAGACATTACACATGCTGCATTGTCTCTTTTTTGCTTCTCTCTAAAGACATTGTTACGGGTCTGAAAAATAGTTTATATTTTTGTGCCCAGGGAAAAAGGTCGCTATCGTTATGCTGGTCAGTGGAAGCATGGGAAGATGCATGGATGTGGTGTATATGAATTTAACGAGCGTATCATATATGTAGGTCCATGGATCATCTATAGTTTTTGTCAACGATTAACCCCAATCAACAACTTCTTTATTTTTCATATTTTACAAAAGAAAGGGGGAGATGAAGCTGGACTTTTAAGATGAAAAATAAAGATTTAATTTATATACTCTTTCATTTTACATGTCAATTAATTATAATTGTCAGATCATTAAAAGTGTTAAACTGTAATCATATACATGATTGCTTATAATCTGTTGACAGTGTAAAACTTTGTACACTAACATTGTATTGAAATAAACTATATATAGTTGCAGAGAATAATATGATTTCCTTTAACTTTCTGACAATATAAAACTATTTTTTTTAGCTTGCATTTTAAGTTTAAGATGTACCATCTGTATTATTTATTTGGTTGAACCTTACTACTAAATACAAATGTTGGGAAGTGCTAGTCATCTTCAACATGAGGGAAAAATATTTTCATCTTACTTGATTCATGCAGAAGCCCTATTTTCTTGCATACTTACATCATCTGTGCATGTACAGGGTAGATTTTATTTTGGAGAAATATTGGATGATGATGAGGGGTGTGATGACGAAACTTCAGCGGTATTAAATACTCTTCACCTGTGAAAATAATAAAATAATATTTGATAATCTAAGAGGTGTGGCAATATCTCATTCTCTGACACTGTCAATTTCAGCTGCATGCTGGTATAGCCGAAGTTGCTGCTGCAAAGGCTCGCATGTTTATGAACAAGCCTGATGGAAGTATGATGTTTTTTCCAATACAAAATTTTATATTGAAAACCTTACATTCATGTTTTTTTTGGTCCTGACTTTCCTTTTTGTCTGTTTATAGATCCATTCATTAGCATGTACTATAAATTAAGGTATAAAGGTTCATATTCCACAATCATCTTCTTCCTCCCCCATCTCCTCACCATTTAAACTTTTCAATACCATCTGTTATAGAGAGTGATCACCAAGATATTCTTGCCAGGGAAGCCTTTTATTAGCTTTGAGGACTGATAGAATATCCTTCTGTCAGAATTTTCATTTCCATTTCTGTAATCATTCTTCAGGTTGAGTACAAATTACATTTTCTGCTGTTAGCTCTATTACCTTTGGTCTACCTCTGTCCTGTAGCAGTATTGTTCACCCTTTTCGGTTTTTTGTTCTGTTTTCTGTTAGGCATATATTTTTTAATACCAATTGGCAACTATATATATGCCTTTATATTTTAGTATTCATTTTAGGATTTATACATTAATGATTTTACTTGTATATAAAGGCCTAGGTATAGAAGCCATGCTACTATCCTTATCTCACGATAATGGTTTTGAGTTCGCCGTTCCATGGTGCTTCCTGGATGCTGGGATGGATTCATACAGGGACAACCAGGGGGCCCCTCTCCCCAATAAAATTTGTTCTATAAAAAATATATTGTTATACATTTTTATTAGCAATTAATTTATGTATAAACATACACAAACGACATTAACATGTAAATACTAGTAATCATTTGAGAAAAAAAAGTGATTGAATATAACTACATATGTCGGTGCTTCGCGAGTGTTTGACATGACATGTGTAAGACAACAAACATAATTTCAATCTAAATTGTTTGTCCTAAATAGTATATAATACTATTATATATTCATCATTCTTTAGGTTGAGTACAAATTACAGATATTATTCATCATTTTCTGCTGTTAGCTCTATTACCTTTGGTCTACCTCTGTCCTGTAGCAGTATTGTTCACCCTTTTCGGTTTTTTGTTCTGTTTTCTGTTAGGCATATATTTTTTAATACCAATTGGCAACTATATATATGCCTTTATATTTTAGTATTCATTTTAGGATTTATACATTAATGATTTCACTTGTATATAAAGGCCTAGGTATAGAAGCCATGCTACTATCCTTATCTCACGATAATGGTTTTGAGTTCGCCGTTCCATGGTGCTTCCTGGATGCTGGGATGGATTCATACAGGGACAACCAGGGGGCCCCTCTCCCCAATAAAATTTGTTCTATAAAAAATATATTGTTATACATTATTTATTAGCAATTAATTTATGTATAAACATACACAAACGACATTAACATGTAAATACTAGTAATCATTTGAGAAAAAAAAGTGATTGAATATAACTACATATGTCGGTGCTTCGCGAGTGTTTGACATGACATGTGTAAGACAACAAACATAATTTCAATCTAAATTGTTTGTCCTAAATAGTATATAATACTATTATATATTATACCATCATCACGTGGTAGGTGCAGTAGATATTTAAGCCCCTTAATTATTTTATCGGAGATTCAATCTTTGATCACTGATTAACCCTTGAGTTACTGATCATAGTTATATCGAGAGATCAGTCTTCACAATGCTCTTCATTTTACAATGTTTTAAAATTAGATTTGTTCTAGCCCCTGATAGATAGATTTTTGGATCCGTTTCTACCTGGATGGAGAACTATGCATCACATCGCAAATATGTAAAGGATCAGATTTACCGCTTTACCATTTGACTATCATCTCAACTATTAGAGATGGTTTAGCATGCGTGTTGATTATTGGCGTACTTAAAGAGTCTTTCAGCTATTATTGTACGCTTGAAAATTTATATCCTGTATGTTTCGAGACAAATCTGTCCCTGTTTCATTTTCCTGATTGGCACCATTCTGTTTTTAATCATGTTATTTTCCATTTATCATTTGACATTTTGTTTGTGCAGTGGTAAGAGAAAAGAGAGGTCCATATAATGATCCACAGCATGCTTACTTGTTCGAAGGAGAGGATGTATGGATGGCTCCTGGTTTCATTAACCAATTTTATGAAGTAAGGCTTACTGGAAAACCTTTACCATAGTGCATTGCTTATTTTCATTTTAAGCGAACAAAATTAAGCATGCATATGGTTCTGTTACATTACAGGTCCCTGATTGCTGGAAAACATATGCGCATGAAGTCGATCAGGAAAGAGAAGGGTGGTTGAACTCTTTCTATAGATCTCCTCTAAGGATACCTATGCCAGCTGAGTTGGAATACTGGTGGTCCAAAGGTATTTAGAACCCGTGTTACAGTTTTTTTTTTTTTTTTGAAAAATTTTATTTAAAAAAAAAATCATTTTTTGAAGTTTTGATCCGTTTGTTACAGTTCTTAAAAATATTGAATTATTGAATATCAACATCATTTTTTTTATATTCTGTAAGAAACATTCCTTATTTTTTCTATTCTACTGCATGAACAAGTACATAATTAGAACCTAAGAGTTTGTTTTTTAAAAAAATAATTATTCTTCCTCCAAATCCTTGACCAGAGGAGAATCATGAGCTTCCTGAATTTATTCTCATTAACAATGAACCTGAGCCTGATCCCGAAGACCCATCAAACCAAATATATCCTGAGGATCCTCTCATCCTTCACACTCCAACCGGAAATTTTATCAATTATGTCGAGGATGAGAAACATGGAATACGGATGTTCTGGCAACCCCCTTTGGGAAGTGACGAGAAGGTATACCAGGAAAAGGCTGCGTTCCTTCCCCTTGGTTATGAGGATTTTTTCGTGAAAGATGATGGAAAGAACATTGAAAATGCATCCCCATGGTATAAAAGACTGATAGAATGGGCTAAATCAAAGAAGAAAACTAGCGAAATGAAAAAGGAGGCAATGGAGAAAGAACTTGAACTTATAGAAGCTGAAATATGTCTAGAAGAGACTATTGAGGATATGGAAGAGTTATTGCGCAGAAGTGAGGAAGAAGAGAAAAAGAAGTCTGAATTGGGTTTATCAGATGAAGATGATACAGTTTCTGTAGCCAAACAAGATGGAAATGCTCAGGTAGATGAGGAAGAGGAAGACGATGAAGAAGACGAGGATGATATTGCACCATCGAGTTTTGGGTCAATTGAGCCGGAACAAAAGACAGATCAGCAGAAGGAAAAACCTGGCAAATCACCCTTTTCTTCATCTTCATTAGCATTCGCTTCTAGCAGCCTTATCTCTGCGGTGAGTTATGATTTTCTACTTTTCTTTTATGCATGTTTTATTTTAGGACTCTTTCATTATCTGTCTGCCTTTGATGAAAATGACTCCAAAGTTTTAAGAATTGCAAATTAGTCTCTATTTTTAAAATTTAAAATTTATAAAAATGACTCCAAAAATCTAATAATGATTTATCTTAATACTCTATTCAAGCAAAAGAATTTAAAAATGAATAGATTTCAATTGAATCATTTGAATTGTTTAGAATTTAAAATTCGTTAAAAATTTCCAATTACCTCATCCAAATACACTCTAAGAGTTGTGTTATTTTAATACAAATTTGACAATAATTTATATGGTTTACACAGTTCAAATGCATCATGGTACACTATTATGCCTACCAATTTTTGTAATATTCTTTGATTCAACAATTTATCAAGTTAGCTTATAGGTCATTTGACTTTGTTGTGAACCGTTGCGTGTTGACTTTTCTCACAATTCAAATTTAAATAATCACACGAGCTATGATGAATAATATTCAATCATATTGTTGTTATATTATTCATATTACTGTATGCTTGCATCGCATTGCGAAGGAGCAAAACATATGTCCTGTTGGTCATCCTACTTGCACCTCATTTCTTGAAGGAGCAAAACATATGTCCTGTTGGTCATCCTACTTGCACCTCATTTCTTGAACATGTTATTGTTGTATATTTGGCTTGTCAGGTTCCATCCAAGCTGCAACAATCATTTACCTTCTGGAACAAGGTTGGATCAAAACCAGCTTTGGTTCTTCCGCAGCGCATTGATCCCACCAGCGAAGTTAAAATTTTTGCTTCAGTCAGTTTTCCTCTGGCGACAGGCCAAAAGTGTAGGTTGAATGCCACAGGTAAAGCAAAGGGAAGAGTCGAGGCAAGAAGTTATTTAGGTGGGAAATTTCTTGAGGTATCCTCTATGTCTCGGACTCGATCATGCTATATGGCTTCTGCAAGTTTAAAGAACAACTCAAAAGAGCAGAGAAGGAGTGGTGATGCGTGGTTGCATTCGGTACCTGAGAGGGATTTAGACAGGGTACTATCTTTGAATTCAATTTCTTCAGTGAATAATTTTTATCCAAATACTCAAACTTCATTTCAAATTTAATTATTGAAGGCCATTTTGACTGTTAACTAGGCCTTAGTGTACCAAAATATGAGTGAACATTGGTTCTGCCCCGGCATAGAGACGAAAGTAATTAGAACTATGTTGTAATCTTTGTCTATTAAAAATCAGAAAAGCACATGCTGAATACTTGCCTCCATTATCATTTTGCATACTTCCCTCCTAAAATTGCTTGATAATTGAATCTTGTAATAAATCTTAGATGATTTGTTCTATCTACTACTTTAAATACATATTCGTAAAATAGAAGAGTAGGATTCACTTTAAATTTGTTATATGTCTAAGAAATAATACCCGAACAAATTTTTTTATGAATTAAATCTAAATAAACTTGGATGCAAGTTTATCCTCTATATCATGATTAAATTAAAAATTAATTTCATTAGATTATTTTAAATTATTTCTTCGGTCTTATAATGAGTGATCATTTAAAATAATAAAGTGTTTTAAAATGAATGAATCATTTAAATTTAGGATGCAAATTAATTCTTTTTTTTGAATTGTACTCTTTAATTATCACTTTCATCACTCCCAATATATGATAAATAATATTTTAATAAAAACTTTGTTTCTTCTCTTTAATTATTACACTTTTATTATACTTTTTAATATGTGTAAAATGTATTATATTACAATCACTCAGACAATTTTAAGATATTTCATTATGGTCCTTTTAGTTATGTCTAGATTCAATGAGATTCAAACTTAGTATCTAAATTTAGTGGGCAAGATTTTTAACGACTGGATTAATGTTTTATTTATTTATAATATTTATATGTTAAATATATATTACATAGTGGCGTATTTCGTAAGTATTTATTTTTATTTTCCATTTTCTCAAAATTCTAGCTACCTCTATCAAAACATAACAAAAGAACATTAGTATAAATTGACTAAGGTGAAAACAGTAGCTACAATCAGAAAACAACAATGAAACTTAACAACTATTACAGAAAACAACAACGAAACTTATGATTCTTTCTGTAATGACAGGATTATGTATAAAAAACATGGGGTAAAAAAAAAGATATGTTAGTTAAAATTAATCTTAATTAAATAAAAATGATAAAAGTGAGATAATGAAAATAGCGGGGTTAATAATTTTTTAAAAGAAAATTTATTAAAAATTAAAAAATTATATGCCATTAATGGAGTTAGTGAGTTAAATAATAAAGGTAGATTTATGATTATATAAATAAACTCTACAGTTTCAATCTATATTAATAATAAATATTTATCTATTATTCTATATAAAAAATATTTTTAAAAAGAAATTAAATATTTATTTATATTTCTCTGAACTCCTCTTTCTCCAAAACTTTCCCCTCTTCCCCTTCTTTTCAATGCTCTCAAATTGAGCCAAAAATTCCAACAAATATCTAATGGTGCATGGGTGTTTAGATTTTATTGTTGTTCTCTTTGAGACACTTTTCAGCACAAAACGATGATACATTTTATTTTTGTTAAAATTAAATTTAGAGATGTATTTTTATATGTGTAAAAGGTGATTTCGAAATATATTTCCGCAAATATAATTTATTTAAAAATTAGTGGGTGGTTTAGAAATGCATTGCTGAATGCATTTGTTTCATATCTTCGCGTCAGATCCTTCCCTATTTCTCAATCTTCATTTTCTAAAAAGTTCTAAAAAACATTTGAGCTCTCATATCCATTCAAGTTTGCATCCATCATTCAAGCTTCTACAACTGGAGCTCTTTCTCCTCCTTTATATCATCTCATACATTGAAGCTTCTAGTTCGCATCAATTTGATTTAGTAAGTTTTTCAAAATGTTATATCTTTTCATGTTCTGATTTGTAGTTAGTTGTTTAAGTTATATTAGTTGTTTTAGGTACATTAGATAATAGTGGAAATAAAATTGGTAGCCTACAAGAACATGCATTGACATATTTTTGGAGGATTAAGGCAATAATGGAGTTTCTTCCATGGCTGAGAATTACAAGTTTGTCTGGAGATGCATTTCTAGAATTTACTCGGGGCTATTTTAAAGGACTTCAGGAGACATTTCAGAGATGCATCTTCAAACATACCTAAATAGCATGCGGAGATGCATCTCTGGACCATATTTTATTCAAAATGAGGAAGATCTCAGAAAGCGAAGTCTGGTGTGATTTTGGGCGTGTCTGAAGATGCATCTCTGGACACATGAAGGACATTTTTGAGTTTTCAGAAGTGTGGGATGCACACTTAAGAGTGTAATAAGAATTTACCTAAAAATAGTAGGTGTCTCAAGATATTTTTATAGTTTTAAGGCATAATTAATTTCCAAGTCTCTTAATTAAATGTTTCGCTTTAGTCCCTTAACTAAAAAACATTACGAAGTAGTCCATTAACTAACATTTCGTTACCTAAAATGGTCTATTCCGTTAGTTTTTTTTCAAAAACGTTAAGTAATAACTACGTGGCATGACATGTAGGCAAATGTAACTTGCTGACTCAGCGTTTGTGTTATATTTGCACTCTAGGGTTGATTCTTCATCTTGCGGCTTTCGTTTTCAGATTCTAGGGATTGAATCTTCATCTTCCAAAAAACTAAAACCCTATAGTGTTGTATTTGAATGGAAAGCTTGTGAGATATTGATAACACAAAACACAGAAAAAATGAGTTCATAAAGGTCGTTTGAGGCATGGGAAGAAATGCAACGTCATAATCAGGATTTAGCTGACCGACTTGTCTAGGGTTTCACCGATTTGGTCCATACGTATATCACTCCACCTCAATTCCTTTGGCCTAATCCTCATAAATCCAAGCTTTTTAACTTGTAATTTTCAACATAGAGTTTCAGGAAGAGGGATTTTGGTTTTTCTGTTGATGATCATGGTATTTCAACGATTTTCGATATCGGTAACCAGATCGGTCAAGCTGGGATGGATTTTGGTGTTAGTTTGAATGTAATGGTTCAAAAGTTTTTTAGGTCATTTCCATTGCTGGTGCTATTTAAGCATGAAGAGGATTCAGTTATGGTTGATGTTGGTGGTGGTGAGGGCGAAGAGTAGACAAAAAAGGGGTTTCGTTGGGGTTTCTGTGAATGAGGGATTGGGTTTGAGGTCACTTATTAAGAGGTTGAAGAATCATGAATTTTTTGAAAGTGTTAATGGAATTGTTAAGGAAGAGATTGATGGGTTTAATCGGTTCAACTGGTTATTTGGGTAGGAGACATGTGAAAAAAATTTGGATTTTGTTTTTGTTGTTTTGCATATTATTTTGTAGTTTACGTTTATTATGACGAGTATTAAATCAAAATGAAATACATTTCCAACTTAGTTTTTTTTCTTATTTCAAAATTTTAAATCAAAATAACATAAAATTTTTTAGGTAAGATTCTAAATGTCCAGCAAGACAAGACTTAACATTTTTTTGATAAAATCTAACAGAATATACCATTTCAGGTAACACAATGTTAGTCAATGGACTATTTTGTAACAATTTTTGGTTAAGATAGTAAAGCGAAACATTAAATTAAGTTAAAGGACCAAAAGACACATCAAACATAGTTTTAACTTTTTAATGTATTCAATTCACTTTTGCAAGTATTTGTCAAAACATAAATCATTTTATCTTCAACTCACTTTTAACCATAAACAATTTTATATAAACAATTCACACAAAATTAATCTTTTTACGATATATCAAACACACCCTTAGACTCGTGACGAGACTGATTTTTAAATTGTCAGGTGAACATTTGTTACTTAGATAATTGAACCTTGTAAGTGTAAGAGCTTGATATAAAGTCATATGTATAGAAAATTGTTCTCGATCGACAAAAAGGTCCAAAGAAGCAAACTTAATCAAGCAGGCCAATGTAAAGTGTCACCACAAAAGAAAAGTAAAACATGTGGAATCTCGTCAAAGAGCTGGACACCGGCTATCGATAAATATGATAAGATGACCCACTATGTCTCACGTCGAGTTAGATGAAAATTATTTTAACCGCCCCCATATATAAGTCTTGTCATGCGCCATAACATGTATTATCTGACTCTCATAAATAACATCTCTCGACCTACACTGACTCTAACCTTGAAGTGCTAATTTTTCAGATCCATCCAATTCTAATGCATTGGAGACTCTTACCATGATATTGGAAGAACTCACTCATTCACTCAAAACTACACCTTTTTTGTAATTAACCTAAAACTTTGATAATTCCTAATTAATCTCGACGAACAAGATTCACTCAAGCGATCAAAATCCCTTGTTCTTCACTCTTCACTCGAGTGAAACAATCACACCTTGATTACAAGAATGATTTTGCGCAGAAATCGTTAATGGAAGAAGAAAGAAAGAAAATTAAATAAGAAAGAAGATTAGGGTTTGACAAAATATGGAAGAAGAGGATGATTTCTACAGAGTAAATATCTGCTTTCAAACTGAGAAAGTATTATTCAACTATGCAACTACACTTCCTGTTGTGTGTTACAATTCATAATAGGGTTACTCCCTATTTATAATTAAGCTAGCTTGCTCCCTAAGGTAAAACCCAAAAATTACAAAAACCCAAAATTTCTATTTTGGTCTAAGTCGAAATCCTGTGTCAAGCAACCTGCTTCGACACTTTGACATCTTACACACTTAGACACACACACACACACACACACATACATGCTAGGCTAATTTCAACACGTCCTTGTTTCTTTCGAGCTACACCTGCTTCGACACAAGGAATTACATTCTCAACACATCACCTAATTCACGGTTGTTGCACCCTAAAATTTGCCCAACCTTATTCCCTGGTTCATGTTTTAATATCATCAGCATTTGCATATAGAGTCATGCACATAGACTAACCATCTGCATAGCATCAGCATAGCAAGTCATTCAACAGGGGACCAATCATTATTCTCATCTCTAGAGGCCTATCATGAGGTTATTATCCTAATTCCATCTCATTCAAGTCATCAGGAAAGAATGTGAAAGCAAAGAGTTCAGCAGATCAAGCCCTGAGTCCATCTCCTAGC